AGTGGGAATGTCCAAATCGGCGCCCGCACCCCCGACCAACAGGCTGCCCACCCTCGCCGCCGGCCCCGAAGGCCTCGCGAGCCTCGAAAGCTGGGCGGGGGCTGCTTCTGCTCCTGCTCCTGCTCAGGCTCCTCCTCCTCCTCCTCCTCCTGCTCCTGCTTCTCCTCCTCCTCCTCCTCCTCCTTCTCATCCTCCTCCTCCTCTTCCTCCTCCTCCTCCGGGCACCCGCTGACATGGATTGGGGATTCGTGGACCGGGCGCGTGGGCGCAGAAGGGTCTCGGCCAGGAGGGCGTATACACCATCCTATGGCCCAGGATGGCCCTGGTCTGGCACGGTGGTGGTGTACAGATAGATGCCTTCGTCGGATCTACAGGGGCCCTCGCCGGGCCCCGGGACCGTCAACTGACGACTCAGGCTGAAGAACTGGTCCTGGGGAATGGGTCGAGACTTCGGGGGAACCCCGCATTGAAAACACATCACGACGTCGGATCTCTGGGTCCTCGAACCCCCCCCTCTTGCCCGCCTCCTCCCCCCCGTGAGCGGCAACGTCCCACCGGGTCACCGGGGATCTGGAGGTCCTGGATGTGGGAGGATCTCATGTGGAAGGGAATGCTGAAGATTGGAGGGGGCGTGGGAGGAGGAGGAGGAGGAAGAGGAGGAGGAGGAGGAGGAGGAGGAGGAGGAGGAGGAGGAGCAGGAGGAGGAGGAGGAGGAGGAGGAAAAACAGGAGGAGGGAGGAGGAGGAGGAGGAAGGAAAAAACAGAGGAGGGGGGGGGGGGGGACCGGGTCGCCGGGGGAAGGTCGAGCCGGAAGCGGCGAGGCGTCGCCGGTGGCTCGGCGAAAGGCCCCCTGGCAGCGGATCTCCGCACGTGCCCGGGCGGCCCTGACCTTCCAGAGAGCTAACCCCGAACCCACGATAATAAAGTACCCCCCTTAAGTTGTTTGAGTTTATCCTCGGCCTCGACGGTTTTCAAATAGAGGCGGAGGGCGCGGAGGCCGAACTTCATTATCACGGGGAAAGTTCGCCATCGAGGTTACTTCCTTCTTATGTTGAGAAAACAACATAAGAAGGAAGTTTTGAACTCTCTCTCTCTCTCTCAGTTTCTGTTTCTGTTTTCTCTCTCTCTCTCTCTCTCTCTCTCTTTTTTTCCCAACCATCCTGTGGTGTTGGGTCCTCGTTTTGAAGAAGCGTTCCCCGCGTCTCCTCTCCTTCTCTCCTCCTCCTCCCCCCCCTCCTCCCCCCTCCCCCTCTCCCTTGCGTTTCGCCCACCCAGTACAGCGTTTAGTGGCCCCATAGGGAGCTCCACCGAAGGCCCCCAGTGGCTGCGCTCGCATGGCGGCCTCGGGCCATTTCGGCACACCCCTCGCGAGGATCGTGGCCCCATAGGGAGCTCCACCGAAGGCCCCAGTGGCTGCGTTCGCATGGCGGCCTCGGGCCATTTCGTCGCACCCCTCGCGAGGATCGTGGCCCCATAGGGAACTCCACCGAAGGCCCCCAATGGCTGCGTTCGCATGGCGGCCTCGGGCCATTTCGGCACACCCCTCTCGAGGATCGTGGCCCCATAGGGAGCTCCACCGAAGGCCTCCAGCTCACGAGGATCGGGGCCCCATAGGGAGCTCCACCGAAGGCCCCAGTGGCTGCGTTCCCATGGCGGTCTCGGGCCATTTCAGCACACCCCTCACGAGGATCGGGGCCCCATAGGGAGCTCCACCGAAGGCGCCCAGTGGCTGCGTTCGCATGGCGGCCTCGGGCCATTTCGGCACCCCCCTCACGAGGATCGTGGCCCCATAGGGAGCTCCACCGAAGGCCCCAGTGGCCGCGTTCGCATGGCGGCTCGGGCCATTTCGGCACACCCCTCACGAGGATCGTGGCCCTATAGGAGCTCCACCGAAGGCCCCAGTGGCAGGGTTCGCATGGCGGCCTCGGGCCATTTCGGCACACCCCTCACGAGGATCGTGGCCCCATTGGGAGCTCCACCGAAGGCCCCCAGTGGCAGGGTTCGCATGGCGGCCTCGGGCCATTTCGGCGCACCCCTCACGAGGATCGTGGCCCCATAGGGAGCTCCACCGAAGGCCCCAGTGGCAGGGTTCGCATGGCGGCCTCGGGCTATTTCGACACACCCCTCACGAGGACCGTGGCCCCATAGGGAGCTCCACCGAAGGCGCCAGTGGCAGGGTTCGCACGGCGGCCCCGGGCCATTGCGGCACATCCCTCACGAGGATCGTGGCCCCATAGTTGTGCTGCTTCAACAACCGCGCCTGGGCGTCGTACTCCGCCGTGTCGACGTGCAACGCCACCTCCTCCCTCATGGCTCTCAAGGCCTTCTCCTGCTTCTGCTCCTCGGTGAGAGGGGCGCCGTCCTTGTCGTCGTCGGCTCCCGCGAAGACGGCCACGAACGTGCCCCTGAGCATGTCGGGCTCTGGCGGAAAGCCGTGGCCACATAGGGAGCGCGGGCCAAGATGGCATTCACAATTGCAGTATTTTCACAACAGCATATGGCTGGGTCCTTCGCCAAGCTATTTTTTCTCTCTCTCTCTCTTTTCTCTTTCTCTCTGCTCTGTCTCTCTCTCTCTCTCTTTTTTTTTTTTTTTTTTTTTTTTCTCTCTCTCTCTCTCTCTCTCCCTTCTCCTCCTCCCCCTGGCGCCCTGAACTTGTTTATCGCTGGGGTTGATTACCCCGGGAAAACTAAGCACATGAGCTCCCCTACGCGAGCAGATGAAACTTTTAATTTTCATCAAGCGTTTACACATTAAATCTAATAAGTTTTGAACTTTGGATTTTCGCTTCCTCCTTCTCCTGTCCTCTCTCCTCCGCCTCCTCCTCCTCCTGCTCTTCTTTTCTTTCTCTCTATATCTCTTTTTATTTATCCTTCTTCTCGCCCCCTGGCGCCCTGAACTGAAACAAACCATTGTTGAGGATGTCTCAACCGAGACAAATCATTGTTGAAGATGTATCATGCAGGACCAAAGACCAAGGATCCTCAATATATCTTTGGCTTTTTCCTCTTGATATCTCTTTATGCTGGCTCTGGCGGGCAACTTTTATCATCTCCCCGAAAAACCCGAACTTTATTATATCTGGGGGGTTATTCTCGTGGGTTCATGGTATTTTTTAGCACGGGAGGCCTAAAAACCTAAGAAACGAAACGAGAAAGCCTAAAACCAAGACGTAGAATAGCTCTGGGATAGGTTTTCAAGTCGCGTGCTATTTCTTAGCCCTCCTGGAAGGTCAGGGGGGGGCGGGCTATGGGGCGCCTCTGTCGGCGACCCGGGGGCGATCGGGGGTCGACGCGTCCCCCTGGAGTGCTGAGCCTGCAGTGGAGGGCAAAAAAACAAAACCCGACTTAAAAACCAATCCAAAAGTTATTCTACGTCTTGGTTTTAGGCTGTGCCGTTTCGTTGTTTTAGGTTTTTAGGCCTCCAGTGCTAAACAATAGCCCTCTGGAAGGTCAGGGGAGTTCTGAGCCTGCAGTGGAGGCCAGTCCACAGGAAACCTGCCCCAAGGAGCCCAAGCCTGAGACCCCAGGGCGTGCATCGATTTCCCTTTCCTGCCAGAGTGCGCCATAAAAGATAGACCTCCAGACCCATGGACCTATCTGGACTGCCTTGAACCTCGACGGGAACTGAGGCGTCGAAGTCCTGGTGCTATTTGTTGGCACTGCGGACGGTCAGGGTTTTGGTGTGGGAGCGTCACGCCTTCCACAGCAAAACCATCGCGACCCTGGGCATGGGTCCCTCTCGCGGCGCGCCCCGCGCCCCCCGAGGTGGGGCCGATGTCCTCCTCCCCCTCCTCCTCCTCCCCCTCCTCCTCCTCCTCCTCCTCCTCCTCCCCCTCCTCCTCCTCCCCCTCCTCCTCCTCCCCCTCCTCCTCCTCCTACCCCATCCTTCGCCTCCTCCTCCCCTCCCCCCCTCCTCATCCTCCTCCTCCTCCTCCTCCTCCTCCTTCCCAGGGCACCCCGGAGGCAAGCGGGGTGCTTCTTGGCATGGGCCTCCGGCGTGGCCCCCAGCCCCCGGGCCCGCTCGTGCCCCTCCTTTGGCGGCGGCCAGGGGTCTGTTTCAGCGTTTCGATACGGAGCTGAGGTCGGGCATGCCCCCCTAGAGGCAGATTCTGGACGAACCAGTAAACATAGTCAAACAAAATGTTTGAACATAGTCAAACATATGTGTAACACATCGTACACATACTTTTTTTTGTTTAAAAAAAACAGCAAATATTATTATTATTATTATTATTATTATTATTATCAATCTTCCTCATGTAGAGGGACAGGTCCGACTTAACATTGGGCGGAAACGGGATGGGGGGGTCTGGCTCCGGACCCCTGCGGAATGCGACCGCCTGCCACAGCGCGTCCTGTGGGGGAGACCCCACCTGCTCGAAACAGGCTCCAAGATCAGCCAAG